GAATTTTCAAAAGAAGGTTAATAAAAACAATTATTATTTTACGGGGAACAGAAAATAATGATATTTTTATGCCCATGGTTCGGGAGATTTCGGAAATTTTTGAAAGAAAGTTTTGTAAAACAATTTTTATTTTAAGAGAATGTTAAATAATGATTTTTATGCCCATGGTTCGGAAGATTTCGAAAATTTTTAAAATAAGGTTATGTAAAGCAATGTTTTTTTCGGGAAATGAAAAATATTTATTTTTATTGGCCCATGGTTCGGAAGATTTCGGAAATTGGAAGAAGTAGATTAAGTAAAGTAAGTTTTGTTTCTTGGGAAATGGAAAATAATGATTTTCTTATGCCCATGGTTCGGGAGATTTCGGAAATTGGAAAAAGAAGATTAAGTAAAGTAAGTTTTGTCTCTTGGGAAATGGAAAATAATGATTTTCTTATGCCCATGGTTCGGAAGATTTCAGGAATTTTCAATAGAAGGTTATTAAAAACAATTATTATTTTACGGGGAACAGAAGATAATGATATTTTTATGCCCATGGTTCGGGAGATTTCAGTAATTTTAAAAAGAAGGTTATTTAAAACAATTTTTTTTCGCAGGGAAAGGAAAATAATGACTTTTTATGCCCATGGTTCGGTAGATTTCGGAAATTTTAAAAAGAAGGTTTTGTGAAACAATTTTTATTTTTTAGAAAATGGAAAATAATGATTTTTACGCCCATGGTTTGGAAGATTTCAGAAATTTTCAAAAGAAGGTTGTGTAAAGAAATTTTTGTTTTGGGAATTGGAAAAAACCGATTTTTATGGGCCCATGGTACGGAAGATTTTGTTCATTTTTTAAAGAAAGTTTTGTAAAACGATTTTTATTTTAAGAGAATGTTAAATAATGATTTTTATGCCCATGGTTCAGAAGATTTCGGAAATTGGAAAAAGAAGATTAAGTAAAGTAAGTTTTGTCTCTTGGGAAATGGAAAATAATGATTTTCTTATGTCCATGGTTCGGAAGATTTCAGGAATTTTCAAAAGAAGGTTAATAAAAACAATTATTATTTTACCTGGAACAGAAAATAATGATATTTTTATGCCCATGGTTCGGGAGATTTCAGTAATTTTAAAAAGAAGGTTATTTAAAACAAATTTTTTTTCGCAGAGAAAGGAAAATAATGACTTTTTATCTTATTAAGCTGCTATTAATCTTCTTATATGTGAGAACCTATGTAAGAACTCATACAAGATCTCGGATAAGATCCCATGTGTGTTCCTATTTATCGTGTTGTTCATATAGGAACCTACACAGGAAACCTCATGGGATCCTGTGTTATTGCTTTTACAGAGACATAAGATCATGCGCGAGCTCTCACGCAAGTTCATCCCAGGAACCTTTTCATACAGGATCTTATGTGTGAACCTGTATGGGAACCCACATAAGAACTCACAAGAGATTCTGGATGGGATCCCATATGTGTTCTCACATAGGAATTTTCAACAGGGAAAAAGATGATAAAAATGTTTTAAAAATTTTTTCGCTCAATTCAATAATAGAGTAATGTAAAAACTTATAGTTTTTAATTATTTACGTAATTATTAAAATTAACAAAAATTTTGACGTTACAAAAAAAAATTTTTGCAAAAAAAAAATTAGAGAATTCATTATTTTTCAAATTAAAAATTTGATACAAAAAATTTTTTGTCAAAAATAAATTAGAAAAATTTTGTTGTTTGACAGTAAGCTTCAATAGATGGCAGCTTTTTTCAGACGTTTTTTTTAATGAATTTTATTATTAATTAAATTTAAAAAGATGATAAAAATGTTTTAAAAATTTTGTCGCTTAATTAATTAATAGAGAATTGGAAATACTCACAGTTTTTAATTATTTTAGTTATTATTAAAATTAACAAAAATTTTGACGTTACAAAAAAAAATTTTTGCAAAAAAATAAAATTAGAGAATTCATTATTTTTCAAATTAAAAATTTGATACAAAAAATTTTTTGTCAAAAAAAAAATTAGAAAAATTTTGTTGTTTGACAGTAAGCGCCAATAGATGGCAGCTTTTTTCAGACGTTTTTTATTAATTAAATTTAAAAAGATAATAAAAATGACTTTGAATTTTGTCGCTTAATTAATTAATAAAGAATTGGAAAAACTCACAGTTTTTAATTATTTTAGTTATTATTAAAATTAACAAAAATTTTGACGTTACAAAAAAAAATTTTTGCAAAAAAAAAATTGATTCTGAAATCAATCCAAAAATTGATTCCAGAATCAATTTCTTTTGTATAATTCAATAAAATTAGAGAATTCATTATTTTTCAAATTAAAAATTTGATACAAAAAATTTTTTGTCAAAAAAAAATTAGAAAAGTTTGTTGTTTGACAGTAAGCGCCAATAGATGGCAGCTTTTTTCAGACGTTTTTTTTAATGAATTTTATTATTAATTAAATTTAAAAAGATGATAAAAATGTTTTAAAAATTTTTCGCTCAATTAAATAATAGAAAAATGGAAAATCTCATAGTTTTTAATTATTTACGTAATTATTAAAATTAACAAAAATTTTGACGTTCCAAAAAAATTATTCTGAAATCAATCAAAAGATTCATTCCAGAATCAATTTTTCTTTTTTAATCTAATAAAATTAGTGATTTTATTATTTAAAAAAAAAAATCAATTTTTTTTAATAAAATTTATTAATTAATTGATGAATTTTTTTATTTATTTTTATTATTTAGTTTTAAATCATTATTTATTCAGGTGTTAGTAATTTTTTTTTAACTATAAAATGTATACAAGTTAACCCTACTTAACCTGGAATGTTTTTTTTAAATTATTTTTTCTCTACTTACCTTGAGTTAAACAAATCGAAGAAAACATTTGGTATTCCATTTTAGGTTATTTTTCTACACTCACTTCACTTTTTATTTTACATTTAATTTTTTAATTTAATAATTTTGTAAACATTTTCTGTTTACATTTTCAAATTAAAAAAAGAAAATTTCTAGTGACTTTCTCTTAAACTAACCAATCACAACATTTCTTTCAATCGGAAGTCATCCATTTGTTTTTTCACGGAATGCATTACGGATAACCAAAAAACGTAAAAAATATCTTTATTTTTATAAATTTGTAAAAATTTTTTTTTTAATTTTTAACCAAATAGTCCCTCTTAGAATTTTGTCTAGTTTTCTGTGACAAGAGGTTGTTCACATATTATAAATCACCCTGTATATATGTATATATAAATTGCTGTTTTTCAGGCGTGAAATTTCTCGTGTTTATAAAATTATCCTTTTGTTTTTAATGCTCGCTCATTTTAGGGAATATGTGTTTTTTTATATACTTTTAAAAGATATTTTTTTTTTTAGAGAAAAAGAAATAAAAGTCGCGGTTCATTCAAGAAAATGTAATAAAAAATCTCGGTAGACATTTTATACGCTGGTAATATTATATTGCCGTTAACGAATTATTAGTCTGAAGAAAGGTAATCGTAATAGTCATTGTCTCAATGAAAAATAAAAGAGAATCTAGAACGTATACTTTTACCTATATACGAGCAATAAGCAATATTTTTAACGATTGGTCAGTTTGGTGCAATTTGTTTTATGTTTTCAGTGTATATATATATATGTTGTTTCTTTTACACTTTCCGTATAACATTTTTGTCCTTTTTTTTTATTGAGTCATTACATCAAATCACTGCTATGATATCTTCATTGTTCTGAAAAGTGTTGCTGATTCAAGCGCAAATAGTTGGATATTAGCGTTATTTCTTTGAATTCTCATTTGGGATATATGGTTTTTCAAATTAAGAATATAATCATCAGTTGAAATTCTAAGAATCTGCGCTCTTTGCGAGATTCAATGAGAAATTAAAAAATTGATTACTGGAAATTTTTGGTAAACGATAACTATATTTTCAAATGAGTGCGTTAATTAATACTATTGAAATTGAATTATAAAAATTTATAAACAATTTGCATCTTTAATAATATGCAAAATCGTGAAATGAATAAATTAAAAATCTCCGCACCCCAAAATTTTAAATAGACAGATAAATTTTTTTTTAAAGAGATAATACTGCGCATTTTTTTTTTTTTCTCGAAAGAGTAGTAATTTTCAGGGAAGAGTGAACTTTAGGGAGTATCGGTAGCATAAAGCGGCCATTTTGACGAGAATCTGAAGAGAAGAGTTGTTTCATTTTTTTTGCTTTTATTTTCGGAAAGGCGGTAGTCAGATGGTGTGCATCTTTATGGTATACACGCATATATATATACATATGGTGTAGTACATATATGTAACTCTTGAGATTATAATGGTGGGGCCTGAAAGAGTCCGCCTTCCGAACGAGCCACCACCCCCGGGGGCAAACAATCTTGCATGGAGATCCGACTTAAACGATAGGCCCGTTCAAGTAACGCCCTACGAAACTCTTTAATTCCCGTTTGAAATGAGCACCACAATATATATATATATACGCATAGTGTGAGGGATTTCCACGAAAATATTTTACCGTCGTCGCGACCTCTTCGTCGTTACATCGCGCAAACAATCATCCGAACTGTTATTACTGACAATATTTCCATATCCCGGCTAGACGACTCTAATACCACCCTCGGACTGAAGAATTTTTCTGCTTTTTTTTTCCTTTCGTTTTTCGAATAGCTAGAATAGATATGTCAATATTTATCAAAAGACCTGTTATCATCTTTGAATTCACAAATGTAGCTTCCCGTGCAGAAATTTTGCAAGGGTCCATATCGGGGCCTGATCAGGCAGCCCTATTAGGGAATGAAACGCCGCGCCTGATGTGGCCCTGATTAGGAAATCCATATACTTTCTGGTCGCCCTGATTTTGGCCCTGATTAGCGTTTCATTCCCTACTAGGGCCCTATTAGGGCAATTTCTATACGGGGGTTCTTAATATTTTACGGATAGCTGCGTTAAAGATTCGAGAAATTTTGAATTTTCACTCGGAATTAATTTAAAAAATATCAGTAGGAATAAATTAGTTTCAAAATCTGTTTAATTTATTGATTAGTATTAATTCTAAACAATTGTAGCTGTAATTATTAATTGCTTTTAACGAAGAATATCGTACATTTTTCCATTTATAATGTTCCCTGCTGGACCATAGTTGCAAACCAATATTGCTGTATTATTTTCACCTTGTTTATGATTTATAAATCCACAGCCAAGTCTCACACTTGTTGCCCATAACATTTGAGTATAATGTCCAACTCGATCGAAATTTCTATAAATGATTATTATTTTCAAAAATTAAAATTTTGTTTTCTCTTATATGTATAGTTAATGGTAGTTTCAACTAAAGATTCCAACTCTCTAAATCTGAATTAGTAAAAATGTTTACTAATTTGAATTAGTAAAATTTTACTAATTGTTAGTAAAAGTTACTAATAATTAGTAGAATTTTACTAATTGAGAAGCAAAAAGTGAGTCACTAATTCAAATTAGTAAACATTTTTACTAATTCAGATTTAGAGAGAAAACATTATTAAAAGAGTAGATTTTTAAATATTATTTTTCAAAATCTGTAACGTCCTTGAATGACTTACGTGACACGTTCAACTTGTCTAGAATCGAATAAGGTTACTTCATTATACCATAGAATTACTAATCTTGTTATTATATTAACAGGAGGTGTTCCTGTTATCGATAAGATAGCAACATTTTGTCCAACCTTGAATCGTTCTAAAAAAAATTTTTTTTCGTAAAATCTATTATCAAAAATTAATCATTTATATATACTTACGAACGTTTCTGCATTTGTCATTTAAAGAACTGCACTGATTAGCCCATCTTTGTGCAATGGTTGCCAATTCATCATCCCAAACCTTATAATTTTTGAAATAAGGAAAATTATAAAAATATTGAAATTAGTCACATTTTTTGCAAAAAATTAATTTTCTAAATTGTACGGACCATATCTCTCATATTTCTAGCACGTGGTTGTGGTCCAGGATTTCCACGTCTTTCCCATCCAAAAGCAACGAGTCGCCTTAGAAAAATATGTACATTTAAAACTTCTGTTTTTTGATTTGCATTAAGTCCAATTTGATTTGCACTGCAAACCGGATTTGAATTCTAAAAAGTAAATTAATTTTTACATAAACTATTTATTTTTATTTATTTTTTTTTTATTTCGTACTTACGCGATAAATGCACATTGTATGATCACGACAAATTCGACAATATTCTTGTTGACCAAAAATAAGGAAAATGTTCGAGAAAATAATTAGAACTAAAAATTCCCGTGATTTAATCATTTTTATACTTTAAAATGATTTCCAACAATCGATTGACCAAGGGAATTAATTTTTTGTCAGTATTTATATACTCTACTTTATTTGTGTTCACGAACAAATAATAATTTAGATAATTTTTGTTTATAGTGTCAGTTTGTTGTTTATATTGTAAAATGTTTCCTCAATTTTTGTGCTAATATTATTCATACAAATCCTATATACATTTTTCCTCAAGTGAAAATAATTTTAAATATTTTTTTTTAGTCTGAAATTGTATTATTATACACTGAATGAAATTGTCCCCTTTGGTAATATTAAAGGGGTTTTACATTTTTTTATATTTATTTTATTATTAATTTTTTATTCAATGACGAATGTCATACATTTTGCCACCTACAATATTGCCTCCTGGACCATAGTTACAAACTAGTAATACTGCATTTTGGTTTCGATCTCGATAAGCCACATATCCACAACCAAGTCTGACACTTGTTGCCCATAGCATTTGGGTATAATGTCCAACAAAATCGAATTTTCTATAAAAATGGAAAAAAAATGTATTTATTAATTTCAAAATTAAAAATATGGATTTTGTCTTCTATTATTAGTTATAATGGTTATTTTTCAAGGATTTAAAAAGGTGAAATTTTTCTGTTTTTTAAAATTTACTTACGTGACGTGTTCAACTTGTCTAGAATCAAATGCTGCTACTTCATCATACCAGGCAGTTACTAATCCTGTTATTATATTGGTAGGAGTTGTTCCCGATGTCCATGAGATAGCAACATTTTGCCCAACGCCAAATCGTCCTGCAAAAATAATTGTTTTTCAAATAAAATTTTATCCTAAAATAAAAAAATTATTTCACCACAAATAGAATCATATATATACTTACGAACGTTTCTGCATTTGTCGTGTCCAAATTTGCACTGATTTGCCCATCTTTGTGCAATGTTTGCTAATTCTTGATCCCAAACCTTGATTTTAAATTAAAAGATTATTTAAATATAAAAAAAAATCTGATAACTAAATTTTGAAAAAAAAATACCCTACCATATTTGGCATATTTCTAGCACGTGGTTGTGGTCCAGGTCTTCCTCGTCTTTCTTCTCCTGAAGCGACTCTTTGCCTCAATACATTATGTATTGTTACAACTTCTCTTCTTTGATCTGCATTAAGTCCGACTCGGCTTGCACTGCAAACTGGTCTTGTATTCTAAAAGTGAATTTTTTTTTCTTTATTTTAAATTTCTTCAAAAATTTTTTTTATTTCTTATTTCTATACATCAAATTAATTAACATACATTAAGATTTTTTTTTGTTTTTTTATTTTGTACTTACGCGATAAATGCACATTGTATGATCACGACAAATTTGACAATATTCTTGTTGACCGGAAATAAGGAAAATGGTCGAGAAAATAATTAGAGCTAAAAATTCCCATGATTTAATCATTTTTATACTTATTTTTTAAATTGATTTCCAAAAATCGATTGACCAAAAGAATTATTTTTTTGTCAGTATTTATACTCTACATTATATTTGTGTTAATGAACAAATATTTTTCTTTATTGTGTCAGTTTGTTGTTTATATTGCATTGTAAATTGTTTCCTCAATATTTGTGCTAAATATATTATCTTACAAATCCTATATACATTTTTCCTCAAGTAAAAACAATATTGAATGTGTGCAATTTTTTTGAGTTCGAAATTGTACTGAATAAAATTGTCCCTTTGGTATTATTAAAGGAGTTTTACATTTGTTTATATTCATTTTATTATTGATGTATATTTAATAGTAGTAACTAATTTTTTATTCAACGACGAATGTCATACATTTTGCCACCTACAAAATTGCTTGCGCAGGACCATAGTTACAAACTAGTAGTACTGTATTTTGGCTTTCGTAAACCAAATATCCACAGCCAAGTCTGACACTTGTTGCCCATAGCATTTGCATATCCAAATATCCATTTTTCGTGTCTAAATCTGCACTGATTTGCCCATCTTTGTGCAATATTTGCTAATTCTTGATCCTAAACCTTTATTTTAAATTAGAAGATTATTTAAATTCAATTAAAAATAGTCGCACATAAATAAATTTTCTATAAAAAAAATATCCTACCATATTTGGCATATTTCTAGCACGTGGTTATGGTCCAGGTCTTCCTCGTCTTTCTTGTCCTGAAGCGACTCTTTTTGTCTCAATACATTATATGTATTCTTACAACTTCTTTTCTTTGATCTGCATTCACAGAAAATTAAAAGGCATTAAAATAATCTGCAACGCTTCTTATTTTAATCCAATTTTGCTTATTTTATAATACCAAAATGGATTAAAATAAGCAAAATTGGATTAAAATAAGAAGCGTTGCAGTTTATTTTAATGCCTTTTAATTTTCTGTGTACTTGATAAATGCACATTGTGTGATCTCGGCTAATTCGGCAATATTCTTGTTAACCGGAAGTAAAACAAAATTGTTGAGAAAATAAAAAAAAGTGTTAAAAACCCTCGTATAATTGAATCATTTTTCATTCTTTATTATTATTGAAATGACTTTTTGAAATAAATTGACAGACTTTTTTGTCAATTTTTATATTCTTGTTTATTTGTGTAAAAATAATACTTAAATGTATTTGTTTAATTATTTCTTTGTCATTTTGTCAGCTGTTTATTGGTTTTATAAATATATGCTCAGTTTCCTCAATTTCGTGCTATCATTATTTTATTGTGCAAAAATTTTTAATTTTCCTCATAAGAACAAAATTTTAAATTTTGCATTTAATATACAATAAAGGTGAAAATGCATTTTTAACTTCTATTTTGTAGTTATCGTTATTAATCTATACAGACAGTCGATTAAAATATATCCCTTTTTCAAAATTATGGTGAGAGTATACTCTCTAAATCTGAATCAGTAGAAATTTTACTAATTCAATCAGTACTTTTCATTTTAACTGAAGTTTCAGTTATTTTTTGAAATTTACTAATATAATTAGTGAATATATATAAGCAATAGAAAATAACTTATGTAAATCAGTAATTTGTATATAACATAACCTTTAAAATTAACTATTAAATCAGTAGATTTTCTGGCCGCCGCCATATATTTATATTACTCTCTCTTAATTTGAATCAGTGAAATTTCACTGGTGAAATAGCTAGAAGTCGGTTACTGAATCATTTAGTGAAATTTTCACTGAAAATCAGTCATATATCACTGATTTCCAGTGAAAATTTTACTAAATGAATCAGTCAATCTGTTTTACCCATTACCGATAATACAGATTGACTGATTCAGTTAGTGAAATTTTCACTGGAAATCAGTGATATATGACTGTTTTTCAGTGAATATTTCACTAAATGATTCAGTAACCGACTTCTAGCTATTTCACCAGTGAAATTTCACTGATTCAAATTAAGAGAGCTGATTCAATCAGTAACTGATATTTTACTAATTGAATCAGTAAATTTCTACTAATTGTCAGTTGCTCAATTCTCGCTTTGGCAATTAGTAGATTTCTACTGCTAATCAGTGAAATATGACTGATTCAGATATAGAGAGTATATTCGACAAGTATAGTACAAAGATTTTTTTAGTGGCGATTTATTTTATTTTTGATTTACATTTATAATAATACTTTTATAAATTTTTCTGCAAAAATTTATTTTGAATGAAACAAAAAACAAGTCAAGGAAACAGATTTCTTTAAATCAATAAAAAAAATTTTCTGAGTGAATAATAATAATAATAATAAATAAACGGTCCAAGCAAAATTTTAAAAAAAGTAACTTTTTTTTTTGTTATTAAAAGCGACGAATATCGTACATTTTGCCATTTCTAATATTGCCTGCAGGACCATAGTTGCAAACCAGTAATACTGTATTCAGAATTCCTTGTTGATAATTTAAAAATCCACAACCAAGTTTATCACTTGTTGCCCATAACATTTGAGTATAATGTCCAACTCGATCGAAATTTCTATAAATAAAAAGATTATCAAAAATATATATACAAAAAGAAAATTATAATTTTTGTTAATATTAATTAAATTTTTTTAATTGACTTACGTGACGCGTTCAACTTGTCTTGAATCAAATAAAGCCACTTCATCATACCACAATTGTACTAATCTTGTAATTATATTGACAGGATGAGATGTTCCTGTATTCGATAAGGTAGCAACGTTTTGTCCAACAGTAAAACGATCTTTGCAAATAAAAGATTATAATAAATTTAAATTTTATGAAAGAAGTAAATCAAATTTTGTTAATTTTAAATTTTATACATACAAACGTTTCTACATCTGTCGTGTCCAGGTCTGCATTGATTAGCCCATCTCTGTGCAATGTTTGCTAATTCTTGATCCCAAACCTTGATATATGTATAAGACAAATTTTAAATATTAAAATTAAATTATAATATTAATATTAAATATTATAATATTAAATGAAATTGAATATTAAATTATAATTATAATATTAAATATTATAATATTAAATGAAATTGAATATTAATATTAAATTATAATTATAATTAAAATATTAGAACCCATACCATATTTGGCATATTTATAGCACGTGGTTGTGGTCCAGGATTTCCTCTTCTTTCGCCTCCGACAGCTACTCTTCGTCTAAAGGCATTATGTGCTATTAAAACTTCACTTCTTTGATTAGCATTAAGTCCAACTTGTTTTGCTGTGCAAATTGGATTTTCATTCTAAAAGTAATTTTTTTTTTGTTTTGTTCAATTTTTTAAAAATATAATTTTTTTTTGTAGATTTTTTCCACACTTACTCGAAAAATACACATTGTGTGATCATGACAAATTCGGCAATATTGTACTTGACCAAATGTTTGGAAAATTGTTGAAAAAATAACAAAAATTGTTAAAAATTCGCGTAATTGAATCATTTTTACTTATATTTGATAAAATAATTTGTTTTGAAATTAATATGTTCTTTCTGCAGTTTTTATACTTTATTATGTGTAAAAATATAATTTCGATATTTTTGTTTATTTGTTTGTTTAAATTATTTCTTTCTCATTATATCAGTTTATCGATATTTTAAACTTTCCACTTTCCTCCAATTGTACTAACATTTTCTCTCACTCTGCAAATTTCTATATAATTTTCCTTGACTCAAAATTTTGAATTTGTTCAATATATATATATTTTTGAATTACGAAATTACAATATCATTCGAGGAAAAATATTTTTTTTTTTTACTAAGAAATATTTCTATATACATAATTTTTGAAAAGAAATATTTTTCCTTATTTAAATTATTGGATATTTTAAAATTTTTTTTTTATATATTTTTTTTCATAACATTGTATATATATATAAAAAGAGGTGCGTCTCAAAATATACATAAATAGGTTTAAGAACAATGTGAAAATTTTGTTACAGAATTTTGTGCATTGTTCGCGCGTTTATTTGAAAACGCGTGTGCCAACCCCCATAACTCCTGGGGGTGTGTCGGGGGCGTGGGGTTGCAGCTGCTCTCGTGGTCTGCACGCGTCACATATATCGTCACCCGAAAATTGCTTGCATACAATACAATCGCGTCAACATGTTTTAACATGTGACACACTTTTTTTCCGCAACTTTGTACTGAACAAACAAAAAAAAAAAAAAAAAAAAAAAAAAAAATTGTTGAACAAACTTAAATTAAAAAAAAAATATTATTATTATAATTAAAAGAATCATTATAGTTGGAACTATTTATATATATTAATATATTGATTTATACACTGAAAAAAAAAATTTATTTGATTCAAATAATCGATTACTTGGCTATTGTGAAATAAGTATTTACTTGAACCAAATAATTTTTATTTGAATTAAATAAACTGTATTTTCAAGAACAATTTGTGTATTATGGAAACAAATAAATCTTCACCTGGAATAGTGATAATTTTCACTGAAACAGCGAAATGTTTTACTAAAACAGCGAAAATTTTTGCTATTCTAGAGAAACATATTGCCGTTCCAGATAAATTTTTTTTCCCGGTGAAGTATAACCAATTATTTGAATCAAATAAACTTTTTTTCAGTGTGTTTCAATTGTTTAAAACTATATACCATTATACCGAAAAAAAAGTTTTTGTTGATTTAAAGAAATAAATTTCTTTGACTTTTTTCTTTGTTTTAAAACACAAATTTCTTTGATTCAAAATAATTTAAAAAAAAAGTTATTTTCGAAAGAAATTTTCAATTAAAGAATTATTTCTTTGACACTATATTAATGGAAAAATTTGTTTTAATTTCTTTGATAGAAAAAAATTTATTTAATTCAAAGAAACTATTTTTTATTTTAAAGAAAATTTTATTTTGAAAAAAAAATTTTTAATTGCAATTTATTTTAATTTCTTACAACTTTTGTAATATAATGATAATATATGACAGGAAACAAGATATGCGATGAGTAAAGATGTTTTCATAGTTGATTTTTCTTTAAGGGTATGAGAGCTTCTTCTTTTGCACCGGAAGTGAATCGAAATTCGAATACGCGCAGCTTCACATCTCTTCTTCTTCATTTCTTCTTGTTCGGTGTCGTCGCTCCTTCCTGTCATTTGACACTTCTTTGTTAAAAAAAAAAAAAAAAAAAAAAAAACTCCACCCATCGCGGGTGCTTCTAATAGCGATTGTAAAATATAGTAATAGGGTTGCTTTAAGGCGTACGTATAACGATTTGTGAACTAGAAATCTTTTGCAGCGATTATATTCATCCTATATATAGGAAGGTCGCATATAAGAAGGCGCATTTTCATTATTCGCAAGGGTCTCTCGATGGGTGTAAACTGCCATGCCCCCCTTATATAGAAACTTTTTTCCTTCGACTCCGTGTAGTGCAGGACAGTAATCGACATGGTCCATGTGTCATTCAGTCATTGTGTCAATGACTGTCACGTGCGCCATAAATGCCTCATGTCAATGACAGAAGATCGCGATGCGAATGCGTACACAACTAAAAGGCGGAGATCTTTTATCTCAATGCGAGCGCGTGCGTTTTAATGAAATATATTTCTTCTTTTGATATATATAATATAAATAATAAGAACAGAGAGACCAGAAGCTGTAATTTTCGAGTAAATTAGCGATATGAGAACAGCACCAAGAGAAATGTTTTATTCGAACCAAATATATATTTGCGAGTTAAATAAACGTATATATTTGTCTCAGATATACTACTCTCTAAATCTATGAATTAATGAAAATGTTTACTAATTTGAATTAGTGACTCACTTTTTGCTTCTGAATTAGTTAAATTTTACTAATTGTTAGTAAAATTATACTAATTCAGAAGCACTCTCTAAATCTGAATTAGTAAAAATGTTTACTAATTTGAATTAGTGACTCACTTTTTGCTTCTGAATTAGTTAAATTTTACTAATTGTTAGTAAAATTTTACTAATTCAGAAGCACTCTCTAAATCTGAATTAGTAAAAATGTTTACTAATTTGAATTAGTGACTCATTTTTTGCTTCTGAATTAGTAAACATTTTTACTAATTTAGATTTAGAGAGCAAAAAGTGAGTCACTATTTCAAATTAGTAAACATTTTTACTAATTCAGATTTAGAGAGTAGAATATTTATTTGGCGTAAATAAAATTTTTTATTTAAATTAAATAAAAATTTATTTAAATCAAATAAATATTTATTTGATTCTTGAAAAAAAAAACGTGAAAAAAAATAATCTAGGAAATTATTTAAATTCTAATCGAAAATCAAAGAGATTTTAAATGATTACACTAAATATCAAATCCTATTGTATCAAGAAACACGAATTTATATATAATTTCGTGTCATTTTCTATATTTCTTTCTAAAATCGATATTGATAATGAATTTCTATTATTATATAGACATTCTTTTTTTTTTTTTTGGCATAGCCATCTGTCGAATTGGACGCAAACGCCTGCAATCAAATGTGTTTTGAAAACATCGACGTGCCCACTTTACCGATATATACCCATCGGATAGCACTGAATCGGTGAGATGATTGTAGTCATTACGGTTCACGAGTGCGTATTAGAATTTGAGCTCCATGTATATATATATATATATATAGGAGGCCTTCCATTATTCCCATTTTGTGCCTATTGCTCTTCCAAAGGATATATATATTCGTGTAGATTTATATATAATATGTCTGTGGATGCTATTATAGCTAGAAAAAAAGAGGATTATATTGAGTCGGTGCCAAAAATTTGAGAACTGCTAAATCACCAGCATATATACTCTCCTTTTGTGGTCAGAAGCGTTCCGTAATAATGGCGTTGCGCAATACTTCTTATTAGCAACGATATTAGTAATCATTGTAATAATGAGAAACAAGACAGCATAACTATATATATATGGGATATATGGTTGTTAACAATACCTTGAATTATCTCGAAAAACATCATCCGGTTGACTTTTAAAAGGCCAATGTGAAATTATTCGTCAACTGAATAAACTTCTGTTTCCATGCTCCAAATTTGAAAAAAAAACGAAAGGGAATATTTAACTCTGAATTAGTAAAAAATTTTATCTAATACACTCAGAAAAAAATTCGTTTGAAGCAACCAAATTTTGGTTAAATCAACAAAATAAATGCATTGATATACAGTTAACCAAACATTTGGTTGCATAAACCAAACGTTTATTTAGCTCAATCAAATTTTTTCTTTTTTTCAAAAAATTTATTAAAATAAACCAAACAGTTATTTAGATCAAATAAATATTTATTTGAATTAAACAAATTTTGTTTGAACTAACCAAAAAATTGGGTAAATATAAAAAAATGGTACATTTGGTTCAAACATATCTTTTTTCTGAGTGTAATTTAAATTTTTCTTTTGAATTAGTAAAATTTTCTAATTGATAGTAAAAAAATTTTTAACATTAGTTAAATTTTACTAATTTAAAAGCAAAAAGTGAGTTACTAATTCAAATTAGTTATACAATTTTTTTTTACTAAATTTAGAGAAAACAAAGAAAAAATTTTTGAAGAGTGTTTTTTAAAAATTCTTACTAATTTAAATTAGTTCACTTATCACTAATTCAGATTTAGAGAAAATCAAATAGTAATAATAATTAACTGAAAATTTCTACTAATTTGAATTAGTGAACAATTCAATTTAGAGAGTAAATTATACTTTAAAAAGCCATTGCAATTTCCGCAGTAAAATTATTAATAATGATGATTATATATTAATTAGCTTATAAATATAATACCATTTTTTTGAAGTACCTTAAAAAAACTATATGTTATTAATTAAAACTATCATCTAATGAAATCACGAATATTAAATAAATTTATATTTTTATAAAAATTTTCAATAAATTTCTTATATTAGCATTTGCGTCAATAGAGGAAGAAGTAAAAATATTAAATGACAATAAAATTAGTTTATGATAAGAGATACATGTTTTTTATATGAATCATATTATACATGACTCATCGGAAAATTATAACTATAAGAATGAAATTTTTTAAATATTTTCTTTATAAATAATTTTACACTGTATTATTTTTATTAAACTACTCTCTAAATCTGAATAAGTGAAATTTCACTTAAAATGTGTCAAAAGTCTTCCACGTAGAAAAATAAGTGTATATGCACTTAAAAATAAGTGAAACTTCACTTATTTTTGAGTGAAAACCACTTATTCAAAAGTGCATATACACTTATTTTTCTACGTGGAAGACTTTTGACACATTTTAAGTGAAATTTCACTTATTCAGATTTAGAGAGTAAGTTGCATTAAACGATGATAATATTAAATTCTCATAAAATAATAAATAAAAATTATTTTTCTATGTCTTCTTCTATATATTGACATAGTTGCAAATATATAATGATAAACAATTTTGCTAAGAAATAAAAAAAAATTTTTTAAATATTTTTAAAGGTTTTAATTCATATATAGTTTTATTTCAAAATTGCAAATTTGAAACTGAATTGTTGTTTTGAAAAGAAATTTGAATAAAAAAATTAATTATGCTTCGAAATAATAAAAAAAAAGGAATTTTTAGTTTTGTATAGAGATAAAAATAAAATAATTTTTTTACGGATTATTAAAAAATATTTCAAACATATTTGAGTTGATACATAGAACAAATAAATTTAGTATTCAATTTTATGTATATATAAATAATTCACTTGTTTTTTTGACGTCGTAGAAACTTATAATAATTTTATAATTTCGTAAAATTTTGGGAAATTCCGAGTAAAATATAATTGTTGATATAATGTTAATATTTGCCCTTGATAAGTATTTATTAAATCAATGATAAAAGTAATATTTCATTGTCTTTGACGTACATATTTCTCAGAAATTTTCAATTTTTATAAGTTTTTGACTATTTCCAAGAACAGTTTTTTAAAAATTAAATTATATTTAATTGTTTTTGTTTTTTTTTCCAATTAATATTTATTTGTAAATTATATATAGTATACACAGCAATTAATTTAATTGTTTGAATGATTATTTCATTTTTTTTTTTTTTATTATTTCGAGTAAAAACATTGTTCATTTTATCAGTATATATATGTTTATATAGTAAAGTTTATTTTTCTTCGAACAGATGGCCTTTGAGCCATATCACTTTTGATTTCCAAATTTTATGATAATTATTTCTTACTAATTTTTTTTTTTTTTATTCTTTTTTTGATTATGACTAATATTTAAATGAAAAGCAAATTAAAAGTGGGGACACAATATCTGATAAGATTCACCTGTAACTTGCTTTATAAACTATAGCAGAAGCACTATTATCTCATAATTAGATATACATCAAGTTTGGAAAATGTTCAAATTTCTGACGTTCGTGATTTTTGCAATTTCTGCAACTTGTAAGTTTCTATTTATTGAGTTAATTTTTATATGCTTGAAATTTTAATTTTTTAGATTGTTTTGCTATTTTTTTATAATATTTATCTTGATTATAATATTCAATTTATATTAATTAATTTTCAATTGATAATTAATTAATTATAATTAAATTTATCATTAAAAATTAAATTCTACTCTATAAATCTGAATTAGTAAAAATGTTTACTAATTTAAATTAGTGACTCATTTTTTGCTTTAGAATTAGTTAAACTTTACTAATTGTTAGTAAAAGTTACTAATAATTGGTAAAATTTTACTAATTGAAAAGCAAAAAGTCAGTCACTACTGATTCAAATTAGTAAACTTTTTTACTAATTCAGATTTAGAGATTAATTATTTAATATATATGTTCATATTAACTTATGATAAATTGTTATTAGCATTGATGATGGTTTTAATTAAAGTTGAATAAAGTTTTATTAGATACTAAATTAATAATAATATTTCCGTTTTATTATTATTATTATTGTATTATAAATAAAGTAAAATTTCTAATCTATATTATTTATTAATTGTAGTTTTAATATTTGATTTTTTTAAAATGAAAATGATAGGAAATTACAAATGGTATAATTTTTTTTGAATAAAAGTAATTATTAAGTTAAAAATATTTCTAAATTATTTTTCTTTTTGCAATTAAACAATTTTCAGAAATAATAATTTTTTCTTTTGTGAAAAATATTAGAAAGATTTAAAAAAAAAAAAATTTTTTTCTTCTAGCGACATATTCTCAATTGTTCTTTCCTGAACCTTCTCAAACGGCTGGTGAAATTGTAGGAAAAATTGATGATGCTCCATTTGTAACGAGCATTTATATTAATCGAGAATTGGTATGTGGAGCAGTTATAATAAACGATTATTTTGTCCTTACGGCAGCAGCTTGTATTAAAACAAGAAATACATCAGCATACACTATTCGTGCTGGATCACTTAGTCATAATTATGGGGGTTCAATTCATTATGTTAATGCAATAATAGTACACAAAGATTTTCATATAAATCAATATAATTTACCAGTGAATGATATTGCATTAATTAAAGTAAATCAACAATTTCAATTCAATGGACAACGTGATGCTTTGCCAATTTATCCTAGACGATTTGTTGATTCGACAAGTACGGGTAAAATTTATGGATGGGGTGTAAGAGGAAGTCAATTGAGAAAAGGAAGCGTTTATATTTATAATACAAGAAATTGTAATGCTTTTTATCAAGGAAAATTGCCAAATGGTCAAATTTGTGCAATTGCAAATTCTTCTAAAACCCCATGTAAAAATGATGCTGGTGGTCCATTTGTGATAGGAGTTCATCTTGTTGGTATTATATCATGGGGCAAAAATTGCGATCTCGATGGTACTCCCGATGTTTATACTGATGTTAATTTTTATCGTGACTGGATTGATGGAAATATGAAGGAATTTTATCCACATTAATTTCAAGAAGGTAGCAAAAATAAATTTTTCTCCTTTTTTTACAAAAAGAATCATGGAATCTTTTTAGATGTGAATAAAAATAATTTTTGTATAATTTAATTCATATATCTTTGAATAAACAAAAATAGAATTGAATAAATAAAAATCAGATGTTGAAATAAATTATAATTTTTACTGGTGGAGAAGTATATAGTAAAATAAAAAAAATATATATCTCGTAGTAAAAAGAAATGTGAAATTTTTTTTTTTTTTTGTGGTCTTTGCGTGTTTGCGTGGTAGTTTATTCCAGAAGTCGCCGGTGACCATTTTAGCTTCTCACTTTTATATCGACACGAGTTCTCGTAGCCGCTCTTCTCATCATAATTTACGATCACGGCATCATCATTACTTTTAAAGTACCTTCGAGTACTTTGTATCTATTGAAGAGATGTGCGAGAAAATATCATCCAAGAATCGATGATCTCATCCTTCCGGTGCAAAAGTTCTCACACTTTCAATAAAAAAAATAAATTTTACTTTTTTTTTTAGTCCATATATATAATTTATGCGCGGAAAAGAAATAAAATTAGTTAATTTTTTGTAAAATTAATTTTTTTTGGAAAAACGCAACTTGATAATTGAAAGAAAATAATTAAAGAAATTTAATTAAGAATTATTTGATGTGAGTTTGAAAATGAAATGAAAAAGAATTTTTGCAATTACTGACAATGTAAGAAACATAATGAGCTTGATGTTTAATGTCTATATATATATATATGTGGCACGAAAAGGTAAATAAGAAATAAGTGCTAGAAATTCATTGTTTAATTTGCACGGCAAATGAGTTACGTTTTACGCTTCTTTCGTGTATATCTCGCCTTAAAATAAGAATTTAATGAGCCTAATATCTTATTCTTTAAATCTCACACATCACTTAATTAAAAATCCGCTAATGGTCTTTATAATTAATTTACTTTTACTGATATATCATTTTTCCTCTACAAATATTATCACTTTTTTTACAACTGGACAAAAAATACTATTTATATTATTATAAATAAAAAAATTTATTTTTGAGTTTATATTATTATAAATAAAAAAATATATGTAAATCATTTTTTCTATAAGATTTTTTTTAAATATCGTAATATTATTTATTAATAATAATATATGTGACGCGCACTGAAAAAAGGGACCTTAGAAGCAAAAAAAAAAAAAATAGGTTATGTTTTTAAATTTTTAATTGAAAATAGCTAAATAGAAATAATTTATATTTCAGTCTCAAAATATTTAATAAAAACTGATTTTAATTTTACAAAAGTAAAAAGATAATCAAGGTTAAATTACCGTAAACATAACCTATATAATTCGTTTACTTCTAAGGTCCCTTTTTTTAGAGCGCCATATGTATTATTATTATAATATTATTTGTATAGAAAATTAATTTTTTTTATGAAAAAAATTTATTTCGAATTTTCTTTTAGAAGGAAAATAGTAATAAAATTTAAATAAAAAAAAATGTTCCATAAAGGAATAATGGTTTTTTTTTCTTATATATAAAGGCAAAATAGAAAAACGTTTAAATTTGAATGACTCTTCTATATAAATGTATAAATAAAAAAAAGCGGAACATCTTTTTTGAAGACGGCATTTCGGTTTTTGAGGTTTTTATAATTGAATTGAAATGGTTCAAGAAAAATTCCTTTTCCTTGAAAAAGACTTTATGATGATTCGAGAACCACATAATATATATATATATAAATTGTGAATGCATATTTGGAATCGATCTTTTTGTTAAATTTATACTTCCGTGGTAAGAGGAACGCCTTCCTGTCATTGTTGCACATTTCCTCGGATGTTCCTTCGACTCGTATTTTATGATATCTAGTGTTACAATTTTCAGCTAGTTAATGTCTTCTATGGATCAGGAAACGATACAATATTATATATATATATGTGTATTTGAATAGTGAAAATGACGAGGTCCTAAAATGGGCGTGTTTCTTAGATATAGGTACGACTTTCAAATTTCGCCAGGAAATAAGTGTCGATTTACCGCTTCGTAAAAAAGGTAACGCACGTGCCCTTGTGGTAACAAAAAAAAAGAAATTGACTATTTTTTTCTATTTAGTATTTTTTTTTGAAAATATATTTTTTTCGCATTATTTTATTAATATATAAGTTTATATTAATGCGGTAGTGGAAAAAATAAAATATGAGAAAAATGTCAAACAAGTTTTATAGGGTGAAAAAAAAGGAATAGAAAGGAACCGGTGAGAATCGGATTCTCATATCGAAAACTAAGATCTCTAAACTTCTAAGTATACCGACCGGCCTCAAAAAGTTGTAAATCATGACAAACGGGCCCGAGATAATATTTTCTTAACACCTCGTCAAGGGGTTGGACATGACAGTTTTACTCGTCTTGCATTATATTCGCTCGCTAGTAAATCTGTAGCATGAACACCTTCGATTTCTTCTAGATCGTTATATATATATATGAACCGACCCTGAAAGAAAGAAAGAGAGAGAATCTTTACGGGTTTCAAGTCGACAGGTATATACATTTCTTTTTCTTCTTCATGCAAAATCAATATTTCTATTGTTTTTAATATTTCGCAAAAAAAAAAATGGTTTATTCTTTTTGGAAAAAAATTTCTTAGAAATAATTTTCGATTTAAAATTTAATTTAAGAATGAAAATAAATGAAATTTTTTCACTTGTAGAAAAAAAAATGAAAGCGCGTTAGTACGAAAGGATGATAAATAATTTTTATAGTTATTCTTGCGAAAATATGTCGAGGACCAGGAAGGGTATTTTGTTAAATTGTTGATGGGCGGATACTTCACCCTGAGGAGACGAAAGACGAAATTACTATAGGAATATGTCTTTCTCTTTCTTGAAATGAGAGAGAGAGAGAGAGAGAGAGAGAGAGAGAGAGAGAGAGACGATCAGAATTATTGCTTTGATTCCGGGCAAGAAAACGAATTACCTACGGGATATTCAATAATCGATTCGAAGTAAGGATGCTGTGTGTATATCAATTGCAGAGGAAGTCAAAGAAGATCATCTCAGTTTTTCCTTTTTGGTAAAAAAAAAAAGGACTTTAATTAAAGCTCCTCTCTCTGAATTTTTGTTAATTCTCTCCTTTTATCTATTTTTTTAAAAACTTTTATTGTTTCCTATTGTCGTTTTATTTCTCTTTTTTAATTCTTTTTTTCCAAATTGCAAATTTAATTGGTTCTTTGAATAAATTTAGGAGAATAGAAATTTGGATAGGGTTTTTTCGATTCATTTGACGCGAGTGAAATATATATATATATATAATATATTTATTCTTGTTTGTAAAAACGTAATTGTGGCTATTGACTACCGCGAATCATGATAATAGTTTCGAAGTAACGATACTTATCAATAACGAAGGAACGCGATGGTTGTTAAACTGTTTTTACTGCTATCTTAGAGAAGTTACTTTTCTTGATATATATTTTCCTTGAAATGTAACGATGGTAAATTATTAAATCATGAAAATGGCCTGGAAGCTACAGGATAATTGAAAAATTTTCTATAATTTGCAGTATGCAGTTCATTCACGCCTTTGGAACCTCTACTTATATATTTTGCCTTTGACGATGAGAGGAAAACAAAAAGAAATTATTTAATTGAAATACACCTCGACGTGTAAAATTTTTTTTTTAGTTATATCACTTGATTTGTACATATTTCATTTTTTTCATTAATTTCTCAAATTTGGAGAAATAGTTACAAAACATTAAAAAAAATATTTTGAATTAAAAATTCTGTTAATAATTCATTAAATTATTTTTGTATCAGAATTTAATTTCAATTAAAAATTATATAAGGAAAAGCGCCATTGGAAAAAAGAATAAATTTTTTTTTTATTTCTCAAATATCTCACTTTTTTTTTTTTTTTATATCAAAGATAATTGTTAAAAAAAATGCTTCCTTTATTCTTTTAAAAAAAAAACTAAAACCAACGGAATGTTAGAGGAAAAAAAAGTAGTTTATAGAAAAAATTTCTGGTCACTTTAGCGACGGCAATTCTCGTGACTGTTGACTTTTTTGTAATATTCTTTCCATTAGCAGGGATAAGATCTTTTCAACCATCGTAAAAGTCTTCTGAATATGATTTTTCTATGCGTTTTTTTTTCTACACTTTTAATCTCTAATTTCAATTATACACACCTGGATTATTAAACAAAATATGCGTTATGAAAATATAAAGGAATCAGATAACGATTTATTTGCACTCTTTTTGCTTCTTTATATATATATATGAATTTAATTATCTTAATTAATTCAAGATAAGATTGACAGAAAGATAAAATGAAAGAAAAGAAAAAAAAAAAAAAAAAATTGTACTAAATTACCAGAGTTTCAATTTTTTTCGGAAATAATAAAAATTTCCTAATCTTTCTTTTTTGTATAATTAATTTTCGGTGCGTTTTAAAAAGCGGGGGTTTTTTTTTTTGGATGAAGTTTGGAATTTTTTCTGATCCCATTAAGATGATCAATGATGTATAATCCTTGTTTGTTTAACCTTTTCTTTGCCTGCGCTTCTTATATAGAAGTCGAACAACATTAACTAAATGGACTTTTGAGAAAAATTACCAAAAAAATCTTTCAAATCCCTTCGAGGCTTTTGTTTCTTCAGTTTTAAAGGAAAAGAGTCGTGAAATCGAATTTCCTGGTTCAGCATCCCATTGATATATAGAGGAAGCGTTTTAGAAAAAAAAAAGTTATGGTTTTGTTTAAAATGTGTCTAAACGATTAGGAAAATGGTTTATAGGGTCACTTTTCTGTTTTGTATAATTAATTATTTTTTAAAAATATATTTTGATGATTTTTCAATATATAGAAATAATTTAATAGAAAAATTAGTATATTTAATTATTAGTTATTTTCAATTAGTGGTTAAACAATGGTTAATTTTAAATTTTTAAACAATGGTAATTTTTATTTTAAAAAAATATAGACAATTATATAATTATATCGTTCGGAGTATAGAGAATTTTTTTTTTTGAGAAAATAATGTGTACGAAAGTTGAAGAACTGTTTATCGAAATCGAAACAGCTTTCCCATTAAAATTTTGATTTGAGAAATTATCTTTCAAAATGAAAAGGACCGAGAGTCCTTTTTCAGGTGGAACATATGTATGTGT